CCCGCCCCCAGTCCAGCCGGAGGACTCAGGCCTGTTGCCATGGCGACCAGGCCCCGCTTCCCAGCCGCGTCCCCCTCGGTCCGGCTAATGGAACAGTCCCCGCGCCGTGCGTCTTCGCGATCGCCTGCGGGCGCTGCGGGCGAAACCACTGCAGGGGAGGAGAGGACCGGGACCCGAGGCCTCTGCGGCCGGGCGTGCTGGGCGCACCCAGGCCTCCGCGGGGGTCGCTCGTCCAGGTTCCTCTTCCGAGGTGCAGAATGCGGCCGGACCCAGGGCGGGGCGCACGGTCCCGTAGGATCCGAGTGACGGAGACTGGGCCGGGCTCCTTCCCCCGGGGCTGTTGCTACACTTCCTGCCTCGGCGTTCTTTCCCCAGCCTGTTTCTAAGGAAGGGAGTGGGGTTGGGCGGCCGCGCCCTGGCCGTCGGGCTGGGTCCAGGCTCCAGGAACCGACAGGGTGTCGGGCAAGCCCGGGGTCACTAGGCGAGGGCTTTAGGGCTGGGGGACCGAGTATACAGGTGCCCAGGGGTCAACGACGAGCGGGAGCTGCGGATCTGGCAGATCCGCAGGGGCGGTCCCCGGGGACCTTAAAGCCCCCTTCTTCGGGCATAGCTCAGCTGGGTACCCTCCTGTCACTGTCCTCGCAACTCTGAAGGTGTGCCCCGACCCTCATAAGTATCCTTCATCAGGACTTCACGGGTGACCCCAGGGTTCCCAGCCTCTGCCAGACATGTCTTCGCGGTCTGCCCCACATATGTCACCTGATTCCGTGTAACCCCAAGACCCTTACTTTCCGGACATCTGTATTTCCCCAATTCCTTCCCCCTGCGTATGGGGGGTGGGGGGCGACTCTGAGACTCTCCTCTAAACCTCAGGACCTATTTATTTATTCCACAATGTGCCCTGCAGCCCCTCCACCTGACCCTCTTCCCTCTTGGGGCAATTCCAGTCCGGACTCTGGATCTCTCTGCGCGCGAGACCCCCGCCCCTCAGCTGATTCCTGGATTTGGCGTTTCCTTATCCCTCCCAATTTAACCCCGCTTAACTCTCCTTTCCCTGCTTTTTGGGGTCGTCCAGTGTGTGGTCAGCCCTTTGACACTTTGCAGATACCGTGGGTCCCTCGGGTGTAGACCCTGGGACCCCCCCCTCTTTTTTGCTCTGTATCGGATTCTCATACCAGTTTCCATGCGTTCCAGGGAAATCGCCACCCTCCCCGCGGACCCTCACCCGTGTGCCTCAAGCCCCACGGAACCCCCCTTCCACGCGTACCCCGGGGTCCCTCGAGCCCCTCCCCCTGCAGCCGTGCCGAGCCACCCGGCCCGTGGCCGCTGTTTACAAGGACACGCGCTTCCTGACAGTGACGCGAGCCGCCGCCTCCCCTTCCCCACGCTCCGGGAGGGGGGCGCGGGGGCCCGGCTCTGGCCACAGCCAATCGGAGCTCACTTCCGCAGCTGACAAATGCCGTATAAAGGCGTGTGGCTCGGGCTGAGCGGCTGGGGCCCTGAGGGCGGCCAGGGCCGGCGCCGGGCCCC